GCGTTTTCGCAGAGACACTGCCGCCGCAGCCATCAACGAGACCAACGATTTGATTAGACCCCAGGGCCCCAATCTGCGCGCCGCCTCCACGAGTCAAGTCTCCCAACCACAGGGAGTAGCAAGCCGACCGCAAGACGTCACCAACCCCGAGCAACCCAACGCAAGCACGTGATCGAGTTCGCGCTCCGAGCCGCAGCGTCGCGACCCGCAGCCGCAAGCGCCAACATTGCATGGCCAGGCGGTGAGCTTCAGCGACACCGCCGCCAGGCTCAACCGCCCAGAGGAACCTCCCGCTCAATTTGCAGCACGCAGCACGGCGAGAAGAGCGCCCGGGCCAATGCGCCCAGCCCGCCGTCGAAGCGAGGGGCTGACACCAGCAGCGCAGCATTCCAAAGTCTCATGCGCAGCTGGCCGTGACCCATGCCGATCACCAGCCGACGCTCACCGGCAGCGTTGGCGCCGGCAGATGACCGCGCGACGATCGCCGATCAGGACGCAGCTACACTCAGAACGAAGGTAAGATGGAGAGGCGCTGGCATGTTGCAGAATTTCAAGTCGCCGTAACATGGGTTACGGAAATATGTGAACAACGACACATTTTTGACATCTGTAAGTTGCAAGGCATTACGCTAGAATGTGTAATCGCTCAAGCGCAAGCGGCGCTTGCGGCGCGCAGCGAGTGCCTTGCTGGGAAAGCAGATTGTCATGGCAGCTCAGGGATCGGCTGCCATGTTTCGGTTCGTGGGTCTCTCGCCGCCGGGGCGCGCCACGAGTTGGCGCGGCGCGGGGCCTGGCGTCGCCCGCGCACGCCCGGCAAGTTCTTGGCGAAGGGCCCGCCGATCGGCAGTTCTGATCGCAGTTTCAGGTGGAGGTTTTTTCCGGGGGCCGGGGGGCGCGCGACAGGGGCGCGCCGACGCGGGCAACGGCCACCGCGCGAACGGCGCCGGCGGGGTCGGGGCTTCCAGCGAAGCTTCCCGCGGGGCCACGACGCGCGCGACAGTTGCGCAAATTTGCCGCGCCCAGCCGCTGCCGCCAGGGCCTTCGGCGGGCCCCCCCGTCGCCCCGCGAACTGCGCGCGGTTCTGTAAGTGCTGCGCGCGGCCGCCGCTTCTGGCGTTTTCGGCGAAGGTCCCCGCGGGGCCTCGACGCGCGCGAGCGGTGCCCAAGTACGCGCGCGGCCGCTGACGCTAGGACTTCCAGCGGGTTTCCCGATTCGGGCCATCGAACGCGCGAGGGGCGCGCAAGTGCCGCGCGCGGCTGATGCCGCTGGGGCCTTTGATGGAGCCTGGGGGGCGCAAGTGCCGCGCGCGGCCGCTGCTGCCGCGGCCTCGACGGAGTCGCCTGTGGGGCCGCGAAGCGTGCGAGGGGCGTGCGAGGGGCGTGCGAGCGGGGCGCGCAGCCCCTGCCACTGCGGCTCGCGGTCGGGCAAATGCTCGAGGGGCCTGCGAGCGCCGCGCGCGGCCGCCGCCGTTGGGGGCTTCGGCGGGCCCACCCTCAGGGGCGACGGCCGGGGCCTCCTTCGGGGCCGCGGCATTATTTCGCGGGGGCATGGCCCTTGAGGCGCCGCCCCATGTCGACGAAATTTTCTCGGGCACATTGCCGCGGGGGGGGCGCCCGCCCGGCGCCGCGCGGCGGCCAGGCTCTCACCCCAAGGCCGCGCGGGGCAGGCGGGGGGGGGGGGGGCAAGTCCTCGCGAGGCAGCTGCGCGCCGTCGCGGGTTTCCAGGGGGCGTCGCGCCATCCCACCTCGCCCCCGCCGGCTGCCCCGGGGAACAAGTCATTTCGCATTTATTTTTCTCTTGCATCCTCACCGATCGGGGCGGGCCTATTTCTCGCGCACTTATTATGCATTGTTTGTGAATGCATAGTCGCCTCCCTGGCCGTTTATTTTATCGCATGTGCGCTTTTCCTTTGCGCGAAACATATGCGGGGGGAAAGCGCGCGCGCGCGCGGAGTCGGCGGGCTTCTCGCCTATTTCGGCCGCCTATGCGCATTTCAAACAGGCGCGCCGAATTCCCCCGGGGAGCGCGACTGCGGGGCCTATTTTGTTTTTGCATGTTCTGCGCATTTCGATTGGGGCACCTCGACCGCACCTAAACTTATCGCGGCCGCCCGGGGGGCGCGCCAATCGAGGCCCAGCGGCGGTTGTGCCGGCGGAGCCCGGGGGGGAGCTTTCGCCGCCCTGGGTCGCGGCGGCCATCCAGCAGCAATTGTTGGTGCCCTCGAATTTGCCGCCCGAGGCGCTGGCGCAATCGGCGCGGGCTGGGCCGAATGCGAGCGGCGCCGTGGATCGGGGTCGCCGCGGGGGGTCGCGGCGCAAATGGCCAGGGGGGGCAAGGGGGCTAATTTGAGAGGGCGGCGGACAGGATGAGGAGCGCGCGAGGGGGCTTGGGGGGGGGGGCGCAATCGGAGGGGGGGGGGAGGTGGGGGGGCTGGGAGGGGGGGGGCGGGGGGAAGGGGCGAGGAACAGGGGGGTCCACGTCGTCGGCGGCAGTCTGGGGGGCGTTCTTGCTGAGTCGCAGCGGCGGCAGCCGCGCGGGCCGCGGCGGCGTGCTCTGGACGTCATCGGTGCGCGGGGGCACGCAGGACGTTTGTGCGATCGGCATTCCCGCGATGATGGCACAGAAGCCATATGAGAGTTTGGATCGCAGGAATGCAGGGTGGCCCGTGGCCCTTGGCACTGGCGAGTGGGCATGTAGCTTCATGCGACCAGGGCCCGCCTCCATTGAATTTCCCCCACCTCATCGCCCCCTCGTCCTAAGGGCGCGTTCTCAGCGGCCCCATCGAGGCTCTTCTAGCCGCCGCCCCCATTCAAGTTCGAGTCGCCCCTCTCCCCGTCCTCTGCGCCCCCTCGTCGCCCAGTGTTATTCCCCAGGCGATGTCGCGCGCCTGCCCCCCCCCCTTCTCCTCGCGCGCGGGCGTCGTCGGCCCCGTCGTCGTTTTCCTGGCGCTGTCGTTCTTGTCAGTGGCTGCTCTGCTGCTCCCTCCCCCTCGCCTGCCTTTCCGCCGCGTCGCCGCCGCCGCTGCCGTCGCAGATGCGGCGTCGGAAATGCGCAGATTCGGCGGGGATGCGTCGTCCACTCGCACGCGAAGCGTTCGTGTTGTCCGGGGTGGATCGCCCCGGGGCGAGCGCGCGCAGTTGCGTTTCGCGTGCGCCGCGCGTCGCTGCGCTAATCCAGCGAGCGGTTTCTACGTAACCATGTAGCGGTTGCGTGCTTGCCGCCCATTTCGTTGCACCGAAAGTTATTCCATGTCTCGTGCAATTTAATGTTTTCGTGGATGCCCAGGCTGTCCACGAGTAGCCGCCTTGCAAAGCTACACCTGCCTACTAACACAATCTCCCCGCCTGGAAATGTGGCATGGGCGCGCCGGCAACCGCGCCGCGGGGGGGGGGGGGGGGGGGGGCGGCCCGCGGACTGGCGCGATCAGCGGGCCGCATCTCCGAGACGCCCACGACGACCAGAGTTGACCGGGAATGCCAGCTATGACCACCTTACGACGTCGCCCGCCGAATATTCCACGGCGAACCAGGGGAATCCCCCCGCCCCCCTGCCCGCCAACAGCCGTGAGGCCTTTGCCTCAGGATGGGACTGCACGGGCGGCGGCCCATGAGCGCGTCGCCACTCCCCACGTTTCATCGCTGACCAGGTTTGCTCCGCGGCAGACAGCTGACTGCACCAGCTGTTCCGTTCCAGTCCCACATAGTGGTATTACACTTCTACCGAATCGCACGCAACCGCTGGCAACTACTTGCGGCGGAACATCTGGTAGCAGAGCGCGTTCGTCTCACACCCCCATCGAGGGCAGCACGCGGCGCGGACACCAATATACGTAGCACGGCACACCATGTGGCCCTAGTTCGATGAATCCCCCATACCCGACCGGCCCGGGGGGGGCTACATCCAGAGGATTTTGCACCACCAAGGATCAGGAATCACTGGGATCGACCCTTCCATCACACGCCGCTTTTCCACCCCATCCCACTACCCAAGACATGATATTCCAAGGTCGACGAACTCATCGACCCTGTGGTCGGTCGGCTTCCGGCAGCACATTCAGGCAGTCGTCGCCCAGTTCGCTTGCTGTGGGCGGCGTGTGCCGCGCCTCCTGGGGGAGGGGCTTTCTTTGCCGCTTTTCATTTCACGAAGCATAAGCGGAGGGGCATGAGCAGTCCCAACAGTACGATTGGACACATGCTCATTCACCTTCACCGGCTGATATGTTCCGGGAACGAATATATTAATTGCAGTTGTTTTGATTCGGAGAGGCCGCGCTGCGTTGAGGACGGCGCGCGGGCAGGGGGAGACCCCAACCGAACAGCGGGCATGCGGCGAAGAGGACGCGTGACCCACAGGGAGGCGTGCGCGCGGCGCCCGCGGGGATACATGTAAGCACGCGCACAGAGGCGCACACGCAGACGTTCCTTTTTGCCAACGAGGTGAAGTGTTGTTCCCCCCCACCCCACGGCAACGCTCATTACCTGCCCCCCCCCCCGGGTAAACCCAACGATCGTACTGGGGGGGGGCCTGGACCCCCCCTAAAAACATGCTGTGGCACACCCGGGCGATGCTACGCCAGTGGCGCGGACCGTCCCTGGCGGGTGCACGCCGCGGCCGGCCGCCGTTACCGTTACCCTCCCTCCCGACCCCCCCTCCGGCTAACGACCGCTGTGCGTCAGCCGCGCGCTGAAGGGGGGGGAGGGCTTGTTGGAGGCACCCCTGCTTCTTAGAAGGCGCAGGCCTTATCTATAGATCTAAGGCTGGCGCCTTCTCAGAAGCAGCCCCCTTCTAAGAAGTCCTCCCCCCTCCCCCTACCCCCCTTTGTGCGCCGCCAAATGCAGGCACAAGAATGACACGAGGGCGCAACCTTCTCGGACACCGCGCAGCTACTGGCGCTCGCCGGGCGCTCGGCACACGACAAAAAACGCTACCCGCGAGGATCGAAAATGGAGGATCGAGGAGGTGGAGTAAGAGGAGGGATGGGGGGGTCGCTGCCCCCCGAGGCGCCTGCAAGCTCTACGTGGCCAACGAGTACTCGAAGACTGAGGCGCTCAAGCTCGCCTGGATCCATCCCCAGACCAAGCAGGCGAGCGACGTCACAGAGGTCGCGAAGCCGTCGAAGCTCCAGGGCGCTCGGCCAGCAGCCACACCTCCTTATGCCCCAGTGATGCTCGTTCATTTCGCTCGATCTCGAGGGATGCGCCCTCTGCCCCTTCCAGGTGGAGCCAGCTTGGAATATGCTGGCACCCCTCCGGGCCATTTTCTCTGTTGTGCAATACTGTGGCTATGTATGGGCCTGTGATGGCCAAGTTGGGGGCTCTTGGGGTCGTCATGTTCCGGACTGGAGGGCCTTCCGAGCTATATTGGGCCATGTTGTTTGCGTCTTGGGGCCTTTAGTCGGCACTTTGGAGGTATCTTGGGCGATATTGCAGCTATCCGGGGGCTTCTGGGCACCGTCTCGAAGCCATCTTTGGGCATCTTAGACGGGAAACAGGCGACTGGCAGAAACCATCAGACAAGTTCAGGTGTTTCAATGATTTGACGCCTTCTCGGAGCGTATGGGGTCCCTGCAGGTAGGTTGTTGGGGGCCATCTTGCATTGGCGTGGGGCCGCCTTGAGGTCAGATTAGACGGTCGACTCGCGAAGCTCTCGTAGGATCATCTTGCTTGGGGCGCCTCTGGAGGCCTCCCCGGCCCTTGTGGCGGCTGTTCGGTGGCTTAGGATCCCGGGGCGCCCCAAGTCGGTCCCAGAGGCCCTTAACATGACCCCTGAGAGGGCCTGAGGAGGCCAAAAACATTGATGTTCCGTAGGCTCTTCAACACGTTGTCTGGCTTATCGCCTTTTCGGCCTTCCGACGAGAGCCCCAAGATGGCCCCAAGACGGTCGAAGATGCCCTCAAGAGGGTTCCAAGACGCCCCAAGAGGGCTCCCAGACCGTTGCGCATCGTCTCCTGGGTTTTCCCGAAGCAAGTGCGCTGTGTTGTAGTTGACTGTGCATTCTGCATTTTTGCAGTTTCCATGATGCTGTGCCAGCGTGGCAATAGTGTTTTGGGCATGTTGACGCTTACAAGCTGTGAAACGTGATTTTCTGCAGATAGATTATAATGCCGCGCTTCATCAACATTGCGCCGTGCATTGAGAAGGGATTTGAAACACAAGATGGGCCGAGCAGTCAAGTCAGCTAGGTAATCGCAGAAGTCATGGCGTAGTGAAGCCCAACGCTCATCGAGTGTTGCTTCCGAGATTTTAGGCGGCATGGCGGGCCAGAGTCGTTGAATCGGTAGCCTGGGTGCCGTAAGCCAAAGCAACTTCGGATAGCGCAATAGAGGAGCAACCCACAGGCGCACGCATAAAACACCTTGGGCTCGAGCCCCGGGAGACGGGCAATCGATAGGCAAATGCGTAGAACACAAAAAGAGTTGTAGCCACAGGATTGGGGGCAGTCCATGGGAACATGCGTAAAACAAGTACGGTTGGAACCCCAGGGAAGGCGCAATCTACAGGCACAGAAATAAAGCACATAGGATGGGAACCACAGGAGAGGGGCAATATATAGGAACAGTCGAGCGACACATGGGATTCGAGCCACAGGATAGGGGCAAACTATCTGCACGAGCATGGAACAAAGGATTCGAGCCGAATGAGGAGGCCGCCTATAGGCACATACGTAAAGCACAACAGGATTCGATCCACGGGAGAGGGCCAATCCACAGGCACATACGTAAAGCACACAGGAGTCGAGCCACAGGAGGAGGCAATCCACAGGCAAAGACGTAAAACACAGAGGCTTCGAGCCACAGGAAGATCGAGCAAGATCGAGCAATCTATAGGCAGACGTGGCTGCAGCGAGGGACCACCATGTTAGATATCCCCCCTTGTTGGCCCCGGCATGTAAAAGCATATGGTCTCAGCTCGGGGCAACCATGCTAGATGCCGCCCTGGGTGGCCTGGACACGTAAAAACACCTGTTTCCAGCGCGGGACCACCATGTTAGATATCCCCCTTGGGGGGCATAGACATGCGATTTCAGCCCGCCCCGGCAGCGCCCCCGGCAGCGTGTACGCCGCCGCCGGGCCTGGGAGACGCCTCCCCCCAGCCCCCTCTTGAGGAGATTCTGGTCGGAGAAATCGTTGATCCCTTTTTCAAAACCCTTCTAGCGTTGGGGGGGGGCCTGGGGCCAAGATATATCCGTATCCACTGCCCGCTGGAATCCCAGAGCGCCTGTTCCACAGGCGGTGGCTATGGAGAAGTCCACACCTCGCACAGTTGATCCAGGCCGTTTGCGAGTAGCTGCTCCGCGAGTCGTGGAGCGCGCTTGTCTAAGAGACCTCCGTCCTCGATGTTGGCCCCTGGCTTGGGTGGCCGCCCCAAGCACCCCAGAAGCCTTGCTCCCTCGATCCTCGAGTCAAGGACCTCGACCCTCGAGGACCTCGACCCTCGACCCTCGACCCTGACTTTGCAGACGAGGGTCGAGGACCTCGACCCTCGTCTTCAAGTTCCGCCCAGACTCGGTCCTGCAGACGCCTCAGGGAGTCCATCCTGCCCACTTCTTCGGGCTGCTTCCGGCCGTGGCGACGAAGACCTCCGGGAGGCGCGCCAAGACCTAAGTGTTCCGCGGGCCGTCGGAGGGCCTAGCGGAGGGGGCGAGGCGGAGGAGGAGGAGGAGGCGGAGGCGAAGGAGGAGGAGGCGGCGGATGCGCAGGAGGCAGAGGAGGAGGAGGAGGAGGAAGAGGAGGAGGAGGAGGAGAAGGAGGAGGAGGAAGAGGAGGAGGAGGAGGAGGAGGAGAAGGAGGAGGAGGAAGAGGAGGAGGAGGAGTGGGGCGGAGGAGGGGGGACAACACGCTGACGAGAGGCTTCGGCCCTCGATCGTCTAGCCTTCTCCTCGGCCCCCGGGTCCTCGAGCCGGAGGTGCCCCCGAGGCCCGCGCGGGGGCGGCCGCTCGTGGAGCGGCGTGGCGCTCGGGGGCCGATGGGGCCCTTCTCGCACGGGAGGGAGCAGGACCGAGAGCAGGATGCACGCGCACGGCAGGTTCGTGTCGTGTCGACCGGCGGCGACCCCGCCGCCGGCGTTCAGTGTTGAACGCCGCGGGTGACCCAGACTCGTTCGATGTGGAACGATTCGGAGGTTTCGGAAACGGCCGATCGTTCAATGTTGAACGGTCCCCGCGGTGACAGAAACCAACGCCGAAGTCGGCACGACACGAACTTGACGTACACGTACACGAACCCACGTCGGCTTCGAGAATAACCCGGATAAGCGATTAAGGAACCCCCCCCTTCCCCCTCTCCGGTGAAAAGATACGCACCCGGCACCCGGAAGCGTTATCCTGGCACCAGGAGGGGGTGCACCCTCCTGAAAGAATGAGGAAACGCATGCGGAGGAGTCAGAGAGCTTCAGTGGCCACGCGTCTTTCCAGTGCTCGACCCTCGCTGTTCGGTGCCGTAACCATGTACACTGATCCACTCCTACTCTGGCTCGGGGATTTATTTTGGTCCTGCCGGGTGCTAAGATAACGCCGCGGTGCGGGGCGGGGGCGATACCCTGGGATGGACCACCTCCTACGACGGCCGAAAAAAATAATTTTTCCGAAGGGGTTGCATCAGAAATCTCATTAGAAAAATGGGGGCTGGAGGAAGAGAAGGAGGAGGAGGAGGAGGAGGAAGAGGAGGAGGAGGACACGGAGGAGGACGCGCTCACAGACAAGGCTCCCGCCTTGGACTTCCTCCATACTCAGGCCTTGGGGGTACTCTGCGAGGGTCACTGCGAGGGTCACAAGTTCTCCTTAGCTTTTCCTTAGTTGTCCTTAGCTGTTCCTTAGCTTTTCCTTAGTTTTCCTCAGCTTTTCTTAAGTTTTCCTTAGTTTTCCTTAGCTTTTCCATAGCTGTTCAATAGTTTTCCTTAGCTTTTCATTAGTTGTCCTTAGCTTTTCTCAGCTTTTCCTTAGCTTGTCTTCGCTTTTCTCAGCTTTGCTTGATCTTTTCCTGAGCTTTTCTCAGCTTTTTTCTTAGCTTGTCTTAGCCTTTCCTTAGCTTTCCTCAGCTTTTCTCAGTTTTGTCTTAGCTTTTCTAAGCTTTTCCTTAGCTTTTCTCAGTTTTTCCTTATTCGTATTCGCATTCTTATTTTCATTACAATTCTAATTGGGATGCCACCCGAGGCGGGGCGCTGGAATTATTTATGTTCCTTCCATGTGCGCGGTGCTAATAATATCGCTCGGCGAAAACCCCCCCAAATAATGATTTAATTTCGGCGCGGTGCTAATGATAACGCCGCGGGGTTCCTTAATTGCTTCTCCGGGTTACCTTGGGCTTCTTAATAAGAGGGGGGGTACCCCCCCAAGGGGGTCAACCTCGCCTCAATGTCGCGCCGCGACGGGGGTCGGAGCGCCTTCGGCGCGCGGTGGCTGCCCGCGACAGGGGTCGATGTGGGACTGTCGGCGGGGGTGACGCCCCCCCCCGACGCTTATATTAAGAAACTCGGAGTACACGAATCCACGTCGGCTTCGAGAGTTCGCATTGCGCGAACGCTCGTATTTTGCGGCTGGTCTCACGGATTGGGGGGCCGTGGTCACGCATGTGGTTGGGCTCGTACGTCCGTTGGGGGCTCCCTATGGGAGGGGGGAACCGAACGACCCACCCCTCCACCCCTCAACTCTTCCGCCGTTTTTCTTCGGATACGCGCGCTAAATGGCACGCGAGCAGATAGGATCGAACAGCGTTATAATGATTGTTGTTGTTGTCGTCCTCGCCTGCGACCCACCCCGCGACCCACCTCGCGACCCACCCACATTGATTTGACGAGAATGTTGCGCCTGCGGCAGGCTCGTTGTTCAATGTGATCTTCGAGCAGTTAGGAGGCTGAGGCACACAGACCTAGGTGTTCCTTCCTCCCGCCCATGATACAGTCGAGATGGCCGCCCTTTCACTCCCTCGGCCAAGCTTCACCCCAGAGGCCTGTCAAGAGTCATGGTCGGGCCGACCACCTACGCTCATTCATTTGTCATATGTGTTATGTCTCTTTCTCTCTCTCTCTCTCTTGCTTTCTCTCTGTATCTCTCTCTCTATATCTCTCTCTCTCTCTCTCGCTCCTTCTCTGCTCTCTTTTTGTTCTCTCTCTCCCTCTCTCTCTCTCTTCCTGTCTCTCTCGTTGTGTGGATATTGTTATCCTGATGTTACCTTGCGTTGTAACCAAGGTCGCGCCCGGCGGAGAGGCGACGCTGGACTCCTTCGTCGGACACGAGTTCACCGTGGCCCATGGTCAGCGGGAGGCAGGCGGAGGAAGATGGGAACGACGACGGCGGCGAGCAAGAGGCGGATGAGGACCAGGACCAAGGCTTGGACCAGGAAGCGGCGGAGAAGGAGGAGAACCAGCCGCAGGCGGCCCTCTTTTTGAGGCCCTCGTCCCGCTCATCCCGTGTGCGCGGCGGGGCAGGGCATCGGAGCTTTGTTCGACGTTGCCCTCGGCGTCAGGAGGTGGCGGTGCAGGGGCGCGAGCACGAGCAGGAGACAGCGCAGCGGCAGCGAGCGACCGAGCAGGCGGGCGGAGACGGAGCCCGCGGTGGCGTCCGCGCGGCGGCTCGGCGGCGGCCGCGCGGGAGGCGAGGAGAAGTCCAAGCCCTTCACGTGCCAGAAGGCGCCGCGCGCGGAGGAGGGGGGGTGGGGCGCGCGGGCGATGGCGAGGGGGGGGTGGGGGGGGGGGCGCTCGAGGGCGACAGGGGGTGGGGGGCAAGAGGGGAGGACCGAGGCGAGCGGGGGGAGGGAAGGGGGTAAGATGGGAGGGAGGAGGGGGGGCCGAGGAGAAGGAGCAGGAAGGGGGGATGGGAGGATGAGTACGAGGATGAGGAGGTGGAGATGAGGGAGGGAGGGAGGAAGGGGAGGGAGGCGGGAGGAAGGAGAGGAAGTGAGGAGGGGGAAAGGGGGGGGGGGGCGATGAGCGAGGGGGAGGGGAGGGCGATGAGCGAGGGAGAGGTGATCAGGAAAGACAGCGCGGGAGGGGAACGATGATGAGGGAGTCGCGTCCGGCGCCGCAGAGCTTTCTGTTTCCAGGGGGCGGCGCGAGGGCCCGAAGTTTGGTGACCCAGCACTCGGCCCACAGGGCTCCATGCTGGCCCAGAGCTCTGGACCCCGTCCCCGGGATTGTTGGGCCCGGGAACGGCCCTTGGAGGCCGAGACATAGAAAATACACCCGTGGTCTTTTCTATTGTGGCGGCAAATTGTTTAGATTGTGAAGGCCTTGCGGCCGGTGCCGCCGACCCTGTAGTTATGCAAGGAGAACAGGGAGATGGAACAGGTGGACGAGGAGGGAGGCATCGTGGGTCTTCTGGAGACTCTTCGGGGGTCTCTTGGGAGCCTCCTGAAGGCCCGCGCGGGCCTCTTGGGGCCTCTTGGGGTGCCTCGTATGACTTCTTGGGGCCTCCTGGGAGGCTCTGGTGTCGAAGGTTGCAAAGCTCCTTTGGGTCCCCTGTGTGGGCACGCTCTGGGAGCCGTCTTGGAGGCCTCTTGGGCCGTCTTGAAGGCCTCTTGGCTTGTCTGCCGGCCCTCTTGGGCCGATTCGGGGCCCTCTTTGAGACTTCAGGGGCTATCTTGGGGCGATCTGTGGGCGATCGTGGAGCTTCTTGCAACCGTCGTGGAGCGTGTCGAAGCCGAAAAGGCGAGAACACCCAAATGTTTCAAAAACAAATGAGAATCTATGGTTTGATCTCTTGGGGCCCTTTGCGGAGGCTCTTAGAGGCCTCGTGGAGCGTTTGGGATGTGTCTCGGACCGTCTGAAGGCCATCTGCGGCGCACAGGGCGAATAATTCGGTGATTCGCGGCACTCTTGAAACGTCTTGGAGATAAGGGGCACTATTTGCCCGTCTTGGGATTTATTGGGCCCCAGGACCCCCTCGCGGGGAATGGTATTCTGGCCCGGGACTTCCCCGGGGCCCCCACGGTCCCCCCTTGCGATCCCCCTCTTGGGACCCGCCCCCTTGGTTGGGAAGGGATCAAAGGGAAGGGGCTTCCCTTCGACTCAGTTACGACATTGCTCAATGTTGCGTTGGTTGGCGCGCTTGAGGAGGAGGGCGCAGGGAAAGGGGCGGAGCGGCGACGGCGACGACGACGACGGGTGGGAGCGGCGACGACGACGACGAACGGAAGAGCGTCTTCCACACGCCGGCAGGGTCGGCGGATTCGTTCCCCGTCGTCCTCGAGCCCCTCCCCTCCTTTCTCCCACTCCCCCCCTTAGTCACCCACAGGGGCGTGAAGATGACTGCGCTTCGCGCGTCGCGGCCTGGGTCGCAGAGCCGTCCTTCTCCAAAGCGGGTGTCGCGAGGGCGCGAAGATAGTCGCGGTTCGCGCGCGGTTCGCGCGGCAAGACTTCACCGCATGCCCTGGGTAATAATTCATACCCACCTTTCCCCCCCGGTCTTGATTATCTCCGACCAAGACAGAGTTGGTCGGGGAGAGGGACGGCGAGGCCGAACCTGATTATCGTGGGGGAAGGTTACGAATCGAAATTGCTAGCTTCTGATGTTGGGTAGCAACACCAACACAAGCATGCGGCAGGGTTATGGGGTTCGCACCACGTGATCTTTCCCCAGTCACGAACGTGTGGCAGGGATACTTGAGATAGTAATTGTTACCGTTTCAACTTTCCCAATGTACGTTTGTGCGGCAGGCGTATAGTATACTATCCACGAGTATGGCTACGACCGCTACGACAACAGTTACTATTACTCCCACTGCACCTGCGAATGCGATTATTACAATTACGACTACGGCTACACTACCACTACTACTACGACTACCACTACAACAACTACTACTTCTACTACTACTACGACTGCTACTACTACTCCTGGTACTACTACTACTACTACCACTACTACTACTACTACTACTACTACTACTACCACTACTACTACTACTACTACTACTACTACTACTACTACTACTACTACGACTACGACTACGACTACTACTACTACTACGACTACTACTACTACTACTACTACGACTACTACGACTACTACGCCTACCAGTACTCCTACTACTACTACTACTACTACTACTACTACTACTACGACTACTACTCCTACTACTACTACTACTACTGCTACTACTACTACTACTACTACTACTACTATTATCATCACTACGACTACGACTACGACGACTACTATTTCTACTATTAGTAGTAGCACTACTACCATTACTACTACTACGACGACGACGACGACGACTACTACGACCACTACGACTACGGCTACTACTACTACTACTACTACTACTACTAATAATAATACTACTACTACTACGTTTACCACTAGTACTACTACTACCACTACTACTACTACTACTGCTACTACTACTACTACTACTACTAGTACTACTACTACTACAACTACAACTACAACTACATTTACTACTACTACTACTACTACTACTACCAATAATAATCATACTAGTAATAATAATATGCCTACCACCGCTACTACTACTACTAGTACTACTACCACTACTACGACCACCACTATTACTACCTACTACTACTACTACTACTACTACTACTACTACTACTACTACTACTACTACTACTACTACTACTACTACTACTACTACTTCTACCAGGGTCACACTTGAGTAATGGACTGGGATATTCGGGTTGGGGCTTGGGTTAGGGATTGGATTCGGGCTTGGTTTCCACAAGGAAACCTTCTTTTTGGAATTCAATAGGAGCTGCAATATACAGAATTCCTGGGGATTCGATGGAAATACAGTAAGAACCGGATAAAGTGCAATAGGAATTTTAAAGGTATCCATTAAGGTGACTTCCTCGCGAAATCCAACAGGAATGTGATGACTTCCTCTAACATTTATAGGAATCAAATATGAAACCGCAAACCCGTCCGTAGGTTAAGTGTGACATTCGCAAATCCCGAATGAGGTTTTCATCGACTGATAGTTAGGCCCACCCAAAATACTGGACATAAATGCGCGGGAACTACTGCTAAGCTCTGCCGGGCCTCGCGCAGCCCCGTGTAGCCTTGCGAGGCTCTGCTACAGTCTGCTAAGCCCTGCTAAGTCCTGCCGACACCTGCTGAGCTCTTGTAAGCCTTGCTATGAAGCTCTGGTAAGCCCTGGTAAGCCCTCCTACGCCCTGCTGGGTTCTGCGAAGCCCTGCAACGCTCTGCTGGGCCCTGCTAGGCCTTGTAAACTTTGGTTCGCCACGCATCGCCCCGCTGAGCTCTGCTAAGCTCTGCTAAACACGACGAAGCCCTGCTGGCCCTTGATGCGGTCTGCGTGGTGTGTTGTGTCTTGTGTGTTGTGTGTTGTGTGTAGTATTGTGTGTTGTGTGTAGTGTCTTGTGTTGGCTGTGTTGTGTGTGGTGTGTTGCGTGTTGCGTGAAATCCGCGTGTGTTGTGTGTGCGTGTGTTGTGTGTGTGTGTGTCGTGTGTTGTGTGTGTGTGTCGTGCGTGTTGTGTGTTATGTGTGTTGTGTGTATTGTTTGTGTTGTGTCGTGTGTGTGTGTTGTGTGTGCGCTGTGTGTTGTGTGTTGTGTGTGTTGTGTGTGTGATGTGTCGTGTGTGTGTGTGTTGTGTGCGCTGTGTGTTGTGTGTTACGTGCGTTGTGTGTTGTGGGCGTTGTGTGTATGTGTTGTGTGCGTTGTGTTGTGTGCGTTGTGTGTTGTGTATTGTGTATGGTGTGTTGTGCGTTGTCTGTGTGTGTTGTGCATGGTTTGTTGTGTGCGCGTGTGTTGTGTGTGGTGCGTTGTGTTCGGTGTGTTGTGTGTGGTGTGGTGTGTGTGCTGTGTGTTGAATTGTGTGTATGTTGCTTGTGTGTTGTGTGGTGTGTGTGTGTGTTGTGTGCGGCGTGTGTGCGCAGAGTGTTTGTTGTATGCGGCGTGTCTGTGGTATGTATGTGCGTTGTGTGCGTTGTGCACGTCATGTCTGTAATGTGTTTTGTGTGTGTTGTGCGTGTTGTGTGGGCGTGTTGTTTGTGGGTGTGTTGTGCGTGGTGTGTTGTGTGTGGAGTGTGCGTGTATTGTATGTGGTTTGTTGTGTGTGGTGAGTTTGTTGGGTGTGTTGTCTTGGGTGTGTTGTGTGTGTGTGTTGTGTTGTGCGTTGTGTGTTGTGTGTCGTGTGTCGTGTGTGTTGTATGTGTGTGCGTTGGCTCACAAGCTTTCAGCACTCCCCCGGAGACCTCCAGAAGCCTTTTCGGGAGTTCTTAGAAACCTCCAACAAATCCCAGAGGCCTCTCGGCACCTAAAATGCTCAGAGGCCTCGCGGGAGCTTCCTGAGGCCTCTCGGACGCCCACAGAATCCTCTCGGGAAATCATAGGAAAAAAAAGGCCTCTCGAGAGCTCTCCGGGATCCCACTCGGAATTCTCCGAGGACGATCTAACGTTTTCAGAAGCGTGTTTGGGGCCTTCAGGAGCCTCTCGGGAACTACCAGAAAGAAGCCTCTCGGGCGCTTTCAGAAGGGGTCTCAGGAAATCTCAGAGGCCTCTCGGACGCTCTCAGAGGCCTCTCGGGGAATCTCAAAGACCTTTCGGGAGCTCCCAAAGATCTCTCGGGGATGGCTCGGGACGTGTCAGATACCTCTTCGGAATCTCACAGAAGCCCCTTTTTTCGGGAGCTCTCAGGCCCTTTCGAAAGCTCTCAGGGCCTCTCGGCAATTTGCAGGGATCTTTGGGAAGCTCTCAGAGGTTTGTCGGGGTGGCTCAACAGCCTTTCGGGAGCTTGTACAACCTGTTCAGGAATTCGCAAGGCCTCTCGGAGGTTCGCAGAGGCATCTCGGGAACTCTTGCGGCAGCCTTCATAAGCCACTCGGAACCGTTTAGAAGCCCCATCGGAGGTCCTCACAAATTTTCAGGCCTCGGAAGCTCCCAGAAGTTGTTTGGACATGTTCAGGTTTCAACGATTTCTTGGGGATTCCTGTGGAATTCACAGAGGCGCTCCAGATTGTTTAGGATTTCCTTCGGATTCTTCGGGGGTCCTTGAACATCGTTTGGCGCATGTGAATCCGGTCATAAGTCAAGTGCGAATTACTAGTAGTTTGTATTCGGTTCCCATGTACCACGATTGCTGGCCTTAAGGAGTATCGGCCACAGATGGGTGGTACGCGACCGTCCATTTGGCCCTACTACTACTACTACTACTACCACTACCACTACCACTACCACTACTACCACTACTACCACTACTACTACTACTACCACTACTATCACTACTACTACTACTACTACTACTACTACTACTACTACTACGATTACTACTACTACTACTACTACTACTACTACTACTACTACTTCTACTACTACTACTACTACTACCACCACTACTACGACTACTACTACTACTACTACTACTACTACTACTCTTACTCTTACTACTACTACTACTACTACTACTACTACTACTACTACTACTACTACTACTACTACTACTACTACTACTACTACTACTACTACTACTACTACTACTACTACTACTACTACTACTACTACTACTACTACTACTACTACTACTACTACTACGACTACGACTGCGACTACGACTACGACTACGACTACTACTCCTATTGCTGCTGCTGCTGCTGCTACTGCTGCTACGACTACTTATACGACTTCTCTCGTTTTCCCCGTAGTCCGAACTTTTCACCTCCAGCGCTTTGTTTTCATTGGAAACGGGCCACCATGAGCTCGTTCCGACACACGTGATGCAGACAACGGGAAAATACAATAGGCCTTATTCATAAGCAACGCTACGTCCCGAATCAGAGTTGTTCGGGAGAAGACTGGTCCTGGGGCTTCTCTCCTCTCCCACCCCTCCGCCTCCCCTTTTCCTTCTCTCTCGTTCCCCCTCCCCTCCTTGCGAGATGTGTTACATGAGATTATGACCATGGCAGCTTTCCGAAGTCAAGAACGTGTGGCAGGACTGTTGGGATTCTCAGCAACGCAGCTCCCCGAAGTCACGACGTGTGGCAGGGCTAGGTCGCCGTCGTCGTCTTCGTCTTCGTTGCCGTCTTCGTGCGACGACGACGACGACGACAGCAACGACCTCCTCTTTCCCCGTCGTACATCCCACGTACGACTGGCCGGCACAACTTGTTTATGACCCCCCCGGGACTTTGAAGTTATTTTCCCCCTGGTATAGGCAAATTCCGACGTTTTGTTGCTTTCACGACGTGCTCCCAGGATTGGCTTCTCGCCGAGAGCCAGTTCTCATGTCCCCGCGGGGGAACGGTCTGTCCTATTTTTTCTGCGATGCTTGGAGGTACGACGTCCCACTCCGCCGCAGAGCCGTTCTTCTCCAGAGGGGCGGCACGAGGGCCTGAAGGTAATCGCGCCTTGCGGTCCGCGCGGCTGGCTGCATGAGATTAGGTGACCTGGTTCCGCCTCCTCCGCCTCCTCCTCCTCCTGCTCCCCCTCCTGCTGCTCCTCGGATCCTCCTCCTCCTCCTCCTCCTCCTCCTTGCCCTCGTCATCATCATCAGCCTCAACACCTTCCGCACTCCTCTCCCTGATCCCCTTCTCATCGGCCCTCGTCCTCTCCTCCCCCTCTACCATGACCTCGCTCATCATCCCTCCTCTCGTCCTTCGCCCGATCGGCCTCCTCGGTTTCCCCCGCTCGCCTGCGCAGGGCAAGAACAGATTCCGCGTGGGCGCCAACCTGGTGGTCTCGCTGGCCTCCAAGAGGGCGCGAAAACGGTGGGCGCCTCAGCGGAGGCCCTCGTCGTCATCATCCTCGTCGCCGCCGCCGTCGTCGCAATAGTCATCGTCGTCGTCGTCGTCGTCCTGCGAGGTTCTCGCGGGTTCTGAGAGGTTCTCCGAGGCTCTCGGAGACTTCGGAGGGCTGTGGGAGGTCCCCACAGTCAAGGAGGATAATCTACGCAACCGAGCGTCGTTAAAAAAACACGACGGACGTTTTGTCCCCGCTACGGGCCCCAGAACCTTCACAGGTCGATTTGGCTCAAGGAATCTTGCACAAACATGAACTCAGATTTGTTTGGGAGGGGGTCGGCAGATCTGCTCGTGTTTTCCTCACGACGTGATTCCTCCGTGATGTCGGATTCTTTCTCCTCCGCTGGCGTCTCTTGCTTCTCAAGCCCGGTGCGCGGATCGTTTTTGCAAAGGGATTTGCAGCCTCGAGGCCGCCAAGGCCTCAGAAGGCCTCTGGCCTTCCGAGGACACAGACGTGGCTTCCGAGAAGGTCCGCGGGCTTCTGAGAAGCCCCGCCGCCGTCCGAGAAGGCTGGCCCCCGCACTGCCCCCCTGGGCTCACCGCCGATCGACTGCACATCGGTCACGGACACATCTCGCAATGCACCGATCGGCTCCGCGAGGCGGCGTCGTCCCTCCCGGTTCGGGCCGCGGCACGGCGGGAGGCCTCTCCTTTGCGTGGTTGCTTCACTGCCGCTCGATGTCGCTTCAGGCCCACCCCCGACGTCTAGATGCTCGCTCACACGCAGTGAGGGGGGTTTGAACGGTCTTGCTTGCATGATCCCTGCGCACGCGTGGCCGGAGTAGGAGGGGCGGCGACGCCAGAGAGCGAGCTTGGAGCCGGGAGCGCGCGCCGGGAGGGCGCGCGGGGAGGGCGCGCTGGGGGAGCGCGCCGGGGGGCGCGATGTTGTTGTCCCTTCACTCTGGTCCGCATATGCGAGGTGCTACGTTTGTCCCCCTCGCTGTATTGGTTAGCAGCGAGCCTTCTTGACCGTACCCTGTGTCTGCCTGCGCAACCCTGTCGATTTCCCCATCCTCCTCCTCCTCCTCCTCCTCCTCCTCCTCCTCCTCCTCCCACACCTCTGTCGACAGGTAGTTGTGATTTGCCAGGTCAGAGCTCAACGTAATCATCTGTACTGCGCAGTTGTTCGGCACCCGAGGTTCGCTACGCTGGCTCAAGAAGGGATGTAGCTCGCAATGTTGAACAAACACATATTATCCGACATTGTAGTTGTATATGTGTTCCCGAGGCTTGATACATTCCCCTCGCGTAGAGCGACGTGCAGGAAACATGCAGTGATGTAACAAATCCATCAGCCACAGGTCTGTGCCTCTGGAGGTCCCCAGACGTCCCCGAAGGCCTCTGGATGGCCCCAGAGACCCATTGAGTTTGAATGAGGCCTAGAAGCGATCAAACAACTAATCCTCGAACTTCGACCGACGACGACGACGAGGGATGACGAACGACGAGTCACGACGAGTAACGACGACGGCGACGACGAATAACGACAACTACCGACGGCAAACGACAACTGATAACGAAGCGGCGACGATGACGAGCGACGACGACGACGGCCGCCGCGCGGTGGGAGTTCGCGGGGCGGCCGCGCTGCTCGTCGTCGTCATCGCCGTCGACGTCGCAGCCGTAGTTCGTTTGCCAGCGTCGGTCTTCGTCGTCCGCTGTCGCCGGCACGTCGCTGCCATGTGCCGTCGCTCGTTTGTCGTCGTCGATTGGTCGGCCGGCCGGCGGTTGCCGTTGTCTTTCGTCATCGTCGTTTTCATTTGCCGTTCGTCGCCAGTCGTCGTTCGTCATTCGTCGTTGATCAACCGCCGCGCAGGCCAGCCACAACTGGGGGAGCTGTGGTCCTTACCGCCCCTGGGGGACCCATCGATTTCGGTACCCCTCTCGAGAGATCGTCGATGCGATGGGTTCCCCCCGGGTGGTAAGGACCACAGCTCCCCCAGTTATCGTTGGTCGGCCGCCGAACCCGCCCCCAAGGCAGGAGATGTGAGCCGGGCGCCGGCAGCTCTCGATGGTCGTGCGCGCCGCCCGCGCGGGGGCGGCCCGTGGGTCCGCCTGCCCGCGCGGCGCGCCCCCGCCGGTGCCCCCCGCCGACGCGCGCGCGCCCCTCCCGCGGCGGCACCTTTGGGGGAGCGGCGGCGGCGGGGCAAAAGGCGGCCTGCCCGGAGACAGGCCGCAACAGTCTGTCCGTTGGTGCCCCCGCCGACGCGCGCGCGCCCTTCCCGCGGCCGCACCAGTGGGGGGTTGATGCGGCGGCGGCGGGGCAAAAAGCCCGGAGGGTTCCAAAGGGGGTTTTGGGGGAGGGGGGTTTTCCGGAAAGCCCCCCAGGGGCCTCGGAGCCTCGCCAAGACAGGGGGTGCGAAGCCCTTGGGGGACCCCTCCAGGAAGACCCCCTCCCCAAAAGCCCCTTCGGGACCTTCCGGAAAGCGGCCTGCCCGGAGACAGGCCGCAGCAGTCTGTCCAGTTGGTGCGCCCGCGCGCGGCCTTCCCCCGCGGCGGCCGGCCGCGGCGGAGCAGAACGGCCTGAGAGGTGGGACCACCGCGGAAGCAGGGGTCCGGAGACGGTCGAGGCACGACCTTCCCTCGGATCATGAGGAAATCGAGGCGGCCAGTGCGTCATCGCTTCCGGCCCCTGGGGCCCGTCTCGGCCCAGGCACCACCATCAGAGCTATCCGGGATGAAAGGCCTGTCCCACGGAAAGAGTAGAAATTTCTGCGGCCCCTGGGCCAATATATATATATATATATATATATATATATATATATATATGTACATTTGTGTGTGCGTCTATGTATATTATACACAACATGCATGGTGATCAGAACCCATATGGTAACAAAGCTGGGCGACTGGGCTTCTTACCTTCACAGCGAGGATGATGCTGGTCAGGTTTCGTGCGAGCGGGGAGGAGGAGGAGGAGGAGGAGGAGGAGGAGGAGGAGGAGGAGGAGGAGGGAGCAGGAGGAGGAGGTGGTTGATAAAATTTGGCAAAAAGACGAGAACGAGGAGAACGCGGAGGAGGAGGAGGAGGAGGAGGAGGAGGAGGAGGAGGAGGAGGGGGAAGGAGGGGAAGAGAAGGAAGGGGTGGATTTGACACCAGGGCGGGGCGTGGGGCCCTCTGAGAGGGCACCCCCCCGCCTCTCGGGAGCCCTCCCGCCCTCCGGGAGCTCCTTCCCGGAGGCCTCCGAGGGGAGCCTCGCGGAGGCGCGGCGCTCGGCGGAGGGGCCTTCGGAGAGAGAGCCGCCCGCGCGCGAGGCGCCGCCGCCGCCGCGAAGGCCGCCGCCGCCAAGGCCGCGAAGGGCGCAGGGGCCGCGGCGGGCGGCGCCGAGGCCGAGGCCGCGGGCGGCGCCGGCGGCGCCTCGGGCTCAGGCGCGGCGCGTGGGGCGAGGGCTCCTCCTTGCCCCCTCGTCGCGTCCTCGCTCCTCCTCCCTCTCGCCCTCTCGTCTCGTCCTCCTTGCCCTCTCGTCTCGTCTCGTCCTCGCCCCCTCGTCTCGGCCTCGCCCTCTCGTCTCGTCCTCGCCTCGCCTCCCTCCTGCCTCCGTCCTCCCATCACTTCCTCCTGCTCCTCTGCCTGCGCTGCCTCCTCTGCCCGCTGCTCCTCTGGGCGAGCTGGAGCCCTGTACGGGGGGTGCAGTGGGGACCCGTGCCAAGAAACACCCTGCTTGCCTCCAGGGTGCCCTGGGTTTCGATGGCCTCGCGACGTAAAGCGTGACGTTCCCACACCAAAAATGAATGGACGTCCTGGGGTCTCAGGGTTGGGCTTATTGTGGAAGATTTACTGTGGGCTGGCCTCCACTGTAAGCAGCGTGGAAGGCCCTCGCCCGAACTTCTGAGTTGGGCGCCAGCTCTCGCTTCAGAAGCCGAAGCACTCAGGGAGTTGGTGTAACAATGAGCGCGCGCCGGGTTCGATGGGCCGGGGTGGCTTAGCAAAAAGCCGTGAATCGGAAAACAAGAGGACCCGACAGACCTCAACCACGGCAAGAGCAGTGGGGGAGAATTCCACGGTCCGATGGAGAAGATTTCGGCCGGGAGGAGGGGGGCGGAAGAGAGACCCAGTTTTCAGACGTCTTGAACAAAATGGATCCGCATGGTTTTTAAATGTTCCGCCGGTGGCACCGCTTCTGGGCCCAAGGAGTCGGGAGTCGAGAATCTCGAGTTCCTGGCCGCAGTGGCCATTTTACGAGAAGTCAAGCCGTCTGGTGTCTGGGGAGGGAGGGAGGAATTCTGGAACCGTGTGGTCTTTCGAACCGTGTGGTCTTTCTTTGGCCGTCTAAAGACCACTTGGGTCCTGGAGGAGGTGGGATCGGCCATCACCTCGCATTCGCGAACAAGGGCGGCGTCTTCTCTTTGATCTTCAGGATCGTTTTTCCCAGGGCCGTATTTGGGCCCACGGGGCCTGCAAACAGCATGCTCGCGACGAAAGGTATGTCCTGGGGATGGGGTCGAGAGTTCAGGGGGAGGGCACGTCGCGAAAAAAGCATGACGTCGGAGGTTGCGCTTCGATTCTTGCTTGAGCGTGTGGCGTTTTCGGTTTTCGAGGCGATGTCCGTGCCTGCGCGCTAGGAGGAGCTGCTGGCAGCGACAGGGTGCAACGCCCCGCGCTTTGACCAGAGGGGCCTGTGCTGAGTGCCGCCCTCGTCTCTTCGTGCTCGTCCCGCCCTGCCTTGCTCGCCCTCCGCTTTTTTTGCCCCCCCACTCCGCCGCCCGCTCCCCCCTCGTGCCCTCGCTCTCCCACGGGCCTCGCCCGCGCTGCGCGCGCGGCCGGCCATCCGGGGATCCGGGGTCGCTCCACCGCCGCCAGAATGACGAAACGAGGGGGAGGATGGTGTATCAGTAGTGCGGGGCCTGATGGGGAGGGAGAGGGAGGAGATAAGCTTGGGGCTCGGAGTAGCTCTTCGAGGGGTGCAGTAGCTCTCGTCATCCATGGCGGTGACGACGACGACGACGGCGACGGCGGCGACGACGACGACGACGGTGGCGACGACGGCAACGGCGGCGGCCGCGGCCGCGGCGGCGCGACGACGACGACGACGACGACGACGACGACGACGACGACGACGACGACGACGACGACGACGGCGGCGGCGGCGGCGACGACGGCGGCGGCGGCGGCGACGGCGACAGCGGCGGCCTCGGCGGCGGCGGCGAATTCCGACGACCGCACGAGGCGCTGCGGCGGCCGCCAGCGCTGCGGCCAACGGCAGCGGGGAGCAGGCGCTCCGCGTGCGCACGGCCGCCGCGCCCGCCCAGCAGCGGCCCTGGGGCAGTCTCGGGCAAGGCGGGAGTCAGCCGATCGCAAACATGGATCAAGGGGGCGTGGATTAGCGACGGGTCCCGCTTCCATTGGAAATCGCGGATTTCCACCGCCGAACGAGGCGGCATTGGCCGCGTTTTGAGGAGGGCATCTCCCCCGGTCCATAGATTTGGCGCCCGCTCGCCAAATCTATGGATCGTTAATCCATGTCGCCGATTAATCTCCGATGCGGCTCGATGTGGAGCCCGATTACCCTCACGTCGACGTCGCCGATGCATCGCCGACATCGAAGATGCGTCGCCGATGCATCGCCGATGTATCGGCGATGCGGTGCGATCCTCCGACCCCATCTAGGAGGCCCCTAGGGAGGTGATGAGTTTGGCGGCTTGGATGGCATGGCCGGGGCCATGGCATCTCCCCAGATTCCATGGCGTTTTCGTCTTGTTTCAATACCTTGGCCCACCCCTGGGCAGCACACGTGCCTGGGACCATAATTTGCGCCCCCCCTCTTGGACGCCCTCCTCCTGGAGGTCCCCGCAGGAAGGGAGGACTCGACCGCGCCGAGAGCGAGCAGTCGCGTCTGTGTATATATATATATATATTATATATATGTAAATAGATAGATATACACATATATATACATATATATATATATACATATATATATGTATGTATGTGTAAGATCCCCAATCAGAGCTTGCCTCTGTAGGGGCCCTAGCGGATGCATATGGTTAGGTGATGTTTGCCACCGATTTCCGCGGCCCGCCCAGGTGCCCAGGTGCCCGGGTGCCCGGGTAGCCCTATAGTTGTATAGCCCTATAGCCTTATAGCCCTGTAGCCCCATAGCTCAATAGCCCTATAGCATTTTAGCCCTATAGCCCAACAGCCCCTTAGCCCTATAGCCTCATAGCCCTACGGTCCTATAGCCATATGGCCCCATAGCCCTGTAGACTCATAGCCCGATGGCCCTATAGCCCTGTAGCCCCATAGCCCCAGAGCACCATAGCCCCATAGCCCCATAGCCATTTAGCCCTACAGCCCTATAGCCCTATGACCCTATAGCCCTATAGCCCTATAGCCATATATAGCCCTATAGCCCTATGGCCCTATAGCCCTATAGTCCTACAGCCCTATAGTCCTATAGACCTATAGCCATGTTGCCCTATAGCCCTATAGTTCCATAGCCCTACAGCCCCATCGCCCTATAGCCCAATAGCCCCATAGCCCTATAGCCCTAAACGACTTTGATTGGGGTTGTTCTCCAGTATCGCATATATATACATATATACACATATATATATATATACATATTTATATGTCTATGTATATACATATATATATATAAATGTGCATATCTGAATATATGTAAATATATCCCATAGCGCGCCTCTGAACAGGAGGTGGTACCGACCGAGGGGAATGGCCCACCGCGGAGCACCCTCCGCGCATGCAAACGGGAGGAAGGGAGGTTGGAAAGCAGGTGGGAGAGATCGGGCGGGGCTAGGACTTGGATGTATCGGTCCCAAGCGTTTCGGAACGCTCCTGGAGCATTCTGGAGCGCTCTGGAACGGCCGCGGCGCCCGATACTTCTTCCAGAGCCGCCGGATCTCAGAGACCCGCCGATGAGACAATCTGGGCACGTCCCGTGGGCAAACAATCGAAAATCATCATACGTAGAGCTACTTGAGGCTCCATTTCTTCAGCTTTCTCGGAGCGTAGTGTGGCCCTCTTAGCGAGATTTTTAGAGCCCTCATGGGTTGTGTTGGGTCATCTTTGGTCGGTTTGAGTCCGTGGATTTTGTGTCCGCGTTGTCTCATCGTTCCCAGCGGAAGTGATTGTTTTGAGTGGATCCATGTCACGCGCCTGAAGTTGGTCGCAATTCCTTCACGTACCATACCATGCGTTCGAGATGTGTGTTCACAAGTTGTATGAGAGCGCTTATTCGCCAGCGCCAGGGGGGTCATGTTGCGCTGGAAGCACAAAAGGCAACAAGAGACATGACGCATGTCACAGGTGTCAAAAAGGACAGGAGGAGGTGGAATCGGAGCTGGGGAGAACAAAGAGAAGGAGGAGGAGGAAGAGGAGGAGGAGGAGGAGAACGAAGAGGAAACACAGGAGAAGGAGCAGGAAAAGGACGACGACGCACGCGACGGCGAGGAGGACGACGGGGAGGTCGCATCCTCCCTCCAGGATTAAACAACATGAATACTACGGTTCCTCCTCTGAAGTTGTCCGGATGATCTTCCGCCCCTTCCGCGTATTGATCTGCCGACAAAGGATATCATCAGTTGTTTATTATTGTGTGGTTTCACATTCAGATTCTTCTCTTTGTTTCAAAATGGTGTTCCCGTTGCAGCGTGGGTCTCATTTTCGGATCGACGTTCTGCCCGCGTCGTTCAGAACTGCGCTCTTGCCCCAGCGCGGGCAATGTTTCTTTGCTTCATTGCGGTCCCCCCTTCATTGCCCTTACTCCACCTTTTCCTGGTCCTCCTGTTCGTCCCGCTCCTTCGACCCCAGTCCCTCCTGCTGCTTTTCGTCTCGCCCCAGCGCGGGCCACGTTTCTGAATCCGAGCTTTTCTTTCTCGCTGTCGCCCCCTCATTCCCCCTCCTCCGCCTTCCCCTGGTCCTGCTCCTCTCGATCGTTCCGCTTTAGTTACTGGTTTCGTTGTTCGTCCTCGTCCTTATCCTCCCGCCCATCGTCCTGCTCACCCGCCACCTCATCCTTCAGTACGCATCTCCCCTTTCCCGATTGCGCATAACTTTCTGTGGGAGTCGCACGTCGGCTACGGCACGCGTCCACGGAGAGAGAACGAGCAGCGCCGTAGGAACGGATGGAAGGGAGGGGTAGGGGACAGGATGTCAGATGAGGCACGAGCGCACCTAGCTTGCCTTTTTCCCCCCCTCTCTCGGTCTCCCTACCCCTGCCCCTGCCCCTGTCCCCCCCCCCTCCCTCCGAGTGCAGGTGCGCCCATAGCGCCCAGAGCCCCAGGAATCCCCCCTCCAGGGGCATTGTTAGGGTGGGCTAGGGAGGGGGATGGATCGACCTTCAATCGCGCAGTGATTGCCGATCGAGGCCCGATAGCCCTAACCTTCCCAGGAACGTGCGGACTCGCTAAGGGGGGGGGGCTTATCGCCGATCTCTAGGCGATGCGTCGCCGATGCCAGGTCGATGTTTATCCCAATGGACCGGTCCCCCCCCCCCCGGATCGTTCCCCCTGACGCTTCCAAGCTCTCCACCCCCTCGGAGCCCCGGCTCGGGCAGGCAGGGTGCACCTCTCCTGTTCCCCTCGGCCCGACTCACTGGTGTCGGAGCCTGAGGCCTCGTCTGAACTGAGCTCGGCGGCGAGCGAGGGGGGGGAAGTGAGAAGGAGACGGCCTTCTCAGAAGGCGGCGGGACTTCTCAGAAGCCCTCGCGCCTTCTGAGAAGATTCCTTGCCTTCGGGGAAGGCTCAGAGAACTTCTCAGAAGGCCGGGGACTTCCCAGCCTTCTGAGAAGGCCTTCTCCTTCTCATTTCCCCCCCCGAACCGGACCCTCGGCTCTGGCGCACGCCCTTGCAGGAGGCGCAACGGTCTGCCGCCAGCGCCCCCCGCCGCGCCCCAGGCGGAGAAGCGCAGGCGCGTCGACGGCGGGAGCCCGCCCGCGATGGGGCGGGGGGCCCCTGCCTGCCGCCCTCGTCAGCGGAGCGAGAGGTCATACAGTGCCAGGCGAGCGCAAACATGGACTGAGGGGGCGTGCATTAGCGACGGGTCCCGTTTCCAGGGGAAATCGCAGATTCCCGCCGCCGAACGAGGCGGCACCAGCCGCACTTTGGGGAGGGCACCTCCCCCGATCCATGGATTTGGCGACCGCGCGCCAGATCCATGGATCGCTAATCCATGTGTGCGCACCCCTGGCAGTGAGGGCCCATGCCAAGAAACACCCTGCTTTGCCTCCAGGGTGCCCTGGGTTTCTTGGGTTTCGATGGTTTTGCGATGGAAAGCGTGACGTCCTGGCACCAAATGTCAATGGACGTCCTGGGGTCTCAGGATTGGGTTTCGTGTGGAAGGTGTCTCGTGGTTGGGCCCCTACTGTAAGAATGATGCGCTCTGAGATGTCCAGGATGTCCCGCTGTCCTCTTGATGTTCCACGGTGTCGGGGTCATCTTTTGGGGGTGGAGGATGGCTCCCAGGTCTCTTCGAGTTTCCCCTCTTCGGCCTCGCTTGGAGCCACTCCGCTGGACCCCCTGGGGGCGCACGAAAGTAGCGACAACGGTACGCGTGGCATCGCATTGCGGAGCGAGGTGTCGCAGGTCTGCGCAGGACGTCATTTCAACGGACCCCATCGGGGCGCAGGAAAGTGGCGCGAGTTGCACGCGTGGCAAGACCCAGCGCAACGCAATCTCGTTCAGGGCGGAGCGACGTCTTGTTTCGGCTCGACACGGCGCCGCTCCGCTGGGCAGCCTCCGGAGGCGAGGGGGCGGCGTTGCGAAGGCTTGGAACGCCGACTTGCGCGCGCAGGAGGCCCAATGGCGGCCGAGCGCAGGCCTGCTCGTCTCCTCTCCGGGGCGGTGCCTGGCGGCGCCGTCCCCCCCCCCCCCAGCAGGAGCGCAGCCGAGCCCAGCCCGCCCGCCGACGAGGCCGTGGCGCCGCCGCCGCGCCCCCCACCCTCCCGAGATCTCCTCCTCCTCCTCCGACGACGACGACGACAGACGGCGGCGGCGGCGCCAGCGTCGACGATCCGGCATCAGAGCTGCCGCGTCGAGCACAGGTAAGGCCTCCGTCTGCCCAGGCAGCCAGCGTGGTGGAACGTGCAACACGGCGTGCCCAACCCGTCATCAGCAAGTGGCCAGAACAAGTGACCAATGCGTAGCCCCCTGCAATTGTGTATGAGAGTGAGGGAGCGGCGGGGTCGTCGGCAGTCTGCAAGGCTGTCCGCAGGCGCCGGATTTTTGCCAAAGCAATGTGGTATGGTCGCGGGTGGGCCACGGGTGGGTCGCGGGTGGTTCGCAGGGTGGGTCGCGGGCGGGACGCGGGCGACGATGACGGCAATAACGCAACAACAACCATAACAATTCAAATAACAACAACAGCAACAGCAGCAACAACAACAGCAATGTTGCAGCAACAGCAGCAGCAAGAACAGCAGGATCAGCAGCATCAACAATGACAGCACATAACAAACAACAACCACACCAAACAACAACAACAACAACAACAACAACAACAACAACAACAACCACAACAACAACAACAACCACAACCACAACCACAACCACAACAACCACAACAACAACAACACCAACAACAACAACAACACCAACAACACCACCACCACCACCAACAACAACAACAATCATTTTAAGACTGTTCGCCCTTATATGCTCGAGTGTCCAATAACGCGTATTTCCCAAACCCTCGATACCCGCCCTCTTCGTCTTCGATCGAACCCCTTTTGGGGGGTATACCTTTCTTCCCTGCAGGCCGGGCCCCGGCAAGCGGCGGGGCGGCCGCGGACCGTCGGCCTGGCCAGCGGCAGCGCTGATCGGCGGGGCGGCCGCGGACCGTCGACCCGACCCCAGAGGGACGGACAAGGGACCGACCACGACGACGACGACGACGACGACGACGACGACGACGACGTCGAAGACGACGGCGACGGCGACGACGAGCGAAAGCGAGAGCGAGAGAGAACGACAGCAGGGCCACGAAGGGCACGAAGTAGGCCACAAAGGGCGACAGCGGGGACACGAAGGGAATGCGTATGGGGCCACGAAGAGTGCGAACGAGCGGGGGCCACGAAGTGCAGATAATGCGGGGCCACAGAAGGCAACTATGAGGCCACTGAGGGTAGCAACTGGGCCACGTAGGACAATGAGGGGGACACAAATGGCGACAGCAGGGCCACGAAGGGCATGCACATGGGGCCACAACGGGCGCGACTCCTGGGTGCCTGGGTGTCGGGAGCGCGGCGCTTGGGCAAATTGCAAGAAATTCCAACGCAAGGCTATTCATCAGTAAGTTGCAAGCAAGTCTCCAGCGAGAGCGCGATTCCAGAGCTCCGGGAGAGCGATTCCTGAATAGATTGTAAGGAAGTCCCAAGCGAGAGCGCGATTCCTGAATAAAATGCGAGGAAGTCTCGGGCGGGAGCGGGGGTCTTGCTTAAATTGTAAGGAAGTCAGGCGGGAACCGTTGTTGTTGTAACCCGGGGGCCAGGGGGCCAGTTTAAGCAGGAAGATTTTCTTTGTCAAAAATCAGGGTGCGAGCGTCGAGGGGCACACTTTTGATTGAGAAAAAAACAGCATGCACCGGTGAGGGGGGATCAACAATAATTATTCTTCAGAACTGAGAATTCAACAACAACACCAACAACATCAACAATTGCAACACCTACAACAGCAGCAGCAACAGCAGCAGCAACAACGACACCAACAAACCACAACACCCACAACCACAATATTACTAACAACCACCACAACAGCAATAACAACAACAGCAACAACATCTCCATCAGCAACAACTCCAACACTCACGTTATGAGTGTCCGCTCTTATCTGCTCTCGCGCCATTCAACACATGTCTCCAAAACCCTCGGTACCCACCCCCGTCGGTGTCCATCGTACACCCCTTGGAGGGTATATCTTCCCGACCTGCCGCGTGTAGTTGGCGCAGCCGCTGAAATAGGGGAAGGAATGGAGGAGGGGAGAGACAAAGAGGAGGGATAATGATGGAGCACGAGAGAGATTTGCAGGAGGAGGGTTGGGAGCAGGAGTACAATCAACATAACCAGACGGGGGGTTCGGGCGGGCGGACCTTAACGGGCAGGTCGCTGGCCCAGACGGCTGGGTCGAACGGGCGGTTCGCTGAGGTGACAATCCAAGGTGAGTCGCAAGGAAGTTCCGAGCGATAGCACGATTCACGAGTAAATTGCGAGAACATACGAAGCGAGAGCGTGATTCTGGAGTCTAGGGGGCACGGCGCCGCAAGGAAACGTGACCAAGTCCTGCGCGAGAGCGCGAACTTGAAATACATAGCTTGAACTGCTTTTGTTCTAAACCAGGGCTGTTGTTCTAAACCAGGGGCCAACGACACAGTTTGAGGACCCATATTTTCCCTGATGTACGCCTGGTGCGAGCCCCGGGAGGGGCATCTGAATTCAAAAACACGATGTGCACCGGGCAGGAGGCAGCAACAATAGTTATTATTTAGACATGGATTCAACGCAACAGCATCAATGCAATAACAATTCGCACCGTGGAATCCCTTTCCAGTCACACACACCCAGGGACAATCAATGAACGTGCGGCCTCATCATTATGATGTTAATTACAATTGGATACCTGACAAGGGCGCAATGTTACTCCCTACCCAGGCTCTGCCTAGAAGGGCTCTTACTCTCTTGGTTTAAAGGGCCGGGCAGTGGGAACTGGCCCGGGCGGTTCCCCCAGTATCCGCCCCGCGGTTCCCAAGTTGCGCCCCCTTACCTTAGTTTTGCGTATCTCATCTTAGTTTAGCTTAGCTTCATCTTAGCTTCGCGTAGCTGTAGCTTAGCTTATCTTAGCTTAGCTTAGCATATCATAGCATAGCCCAGCATAGCATAGCATAGCGCAGCATTGCATCGCATAGCATAGCACAGCCTATCATAGCGCAGCATTGCACAGCATAGCATAGCATAGCGCAGCATAGCCTAGCATACCGTAGCCTAGCATATCATAGCGCAGCCTAGCGTAGCATAGCATAGCGCAGCATAGCGCAGCATAGCGCAGCATAACATAGCATAGTATAGCATAGCATCGCATAACATAGTGCAGCATAGCATAGTATAGCATAGCAGCAAAGCAAAGGCAAAGCAACAGCAGCAACAGCAAAGCAAAGCACAAGCAACGCAAAGCAAAGCAAAGCAAAAGCAAAAGCAAACGCAAAGCAAAGAAAAGGCAAATACAATGTGCGACAGATGCCGAGCTAGCCTCGATAGCCGGACCGGAGCCCCCGCAAGCATTGCCTTCCGCAGCCATTTCGGCTCAAGCCCGGAGGCCCTGCCACACAGCCTCACGCAGTGGCCGAGGTCCCTACCAAGCGTCCAACGACATGCACTAGTGGCCGAGGTCCCTACCAAGCGTCCCACGACGAGCACGTAGAAGCCGAGGTCACTACAAAGCGTCCCACGACCAGCACTAGAGGCCGAGGTCCCTACAAGACGTCCCACGACTTGCACGTAGTGGCCGAGGTCCCTACCAAGCGTCCAACGACATGAACTAGTGGCCGAGGTCCCTACCAAGCGTCCCACGACGAGCACGTAGAGGCCAAGGCCACTACAAAAGCAAATGCAAAACCCCGCAAACAAAAAGCAAAAGCAAAGGGCTTAGCTTAGCTTAGCTTAGCTTCGCTTAACTAAGCTACAGCAACAGCAACAGCAAAGCAAAGCACTAGCAACGCAAAGCAAAGCAAAAACAAAAGCAAAGCAAAGGAAAGGCAAAGCAAACGCAATGTGCAACAGTACGATTAGAGAGCCCACCCGGTGAGCGAATGCAAAAACATGCGTGCGTGTGTATTTTCGAAGGCAAAGAAAAAGCAACACCAAGCAAAAGCAACAACAAGCAAAAGCAAAGGCACTTACGACGATGAGGAGAAGGAGGAGGACGGCGTTTACCATTACTTCTAATGCTGCTTTCCTAGGGGCTCCAACTCCTAGGTAGGGTCGCACTGGGGTAATAAGGTGGCAGCTAAATTGGAGAATCGCGCGTTTCACGACCCACCCCGTTAGCGGAACACACGGGGACAGCAAAGAAGAGAGGCGGGAATGTGACAGCACATAGGAAGGCGGCGGCAGGTGAGAGCAAGCGGTAAAGGGAAGGCGTAGGGTTCGCAGCAAAGTGGACGCGCTGAAGAGGTCAGGGGGTGGCGGGGTATAATTTGGGTACAGGTCCGTGCAGAATCGAACGCCACTCCGTTGGACCTCCCAGGAGCCCACGAAAGCGGCGCCCGCTTCGCAGTTCGCAACGCCCGAGGGACAGCGAGGTCAGATTTGAAATTGGGCAGTCCCGTACTGCGCTGGACCCCCAAGGAAAGCACGAAAGTGGCAACAGCATCACAGTGCGCAGCCCCCAGTGACTGCGAGATCTGAGTCTGGTCTGGGTAGTCTCGCCCTACGCCTACCACCCAGGAACCCACGAAGTGGGCAACGGTTCCGAAGTTCGCAGCCCCCACAGACGACGAGGTTCAATTCAGGGCCGCGCAGGCCCACGCTACGCTGGACCTCGCAAGAGCCCACGAAAGAGAGACGACAGCTTCGCAGTTCGCAGCCCCCAGGGACGGTGAGATCAATCAGGTTTGGGTAGCCCCGCGCTACGCTGGACCTCCCAGGAGCCCGCGGAGGAAGCGACAGTTTCGCATTCGCAGCCCCCGGCGACGGCGATGCTTAATTCGGCCTGCGTAGGCCCGCACTATGTTGGACTTTCCAGTTGCCCACGAGAATGGCGACAGTTTCGTAGTTCGCAGCCCCCCAGAGATGGCGAGGTCCAAGTCTGGTCCGCGCAGGCCCGCACAGTGCTGGACCCCCGAGCAGCTCACGAGAGTGGAAACAGTTTCGCAGTTCGCAGCCCCCAGAGGATGGCGAGGTCGAATTCATGTCCGAGTCGGC